TCTTTATGGAGGCTGAATTTTCCAATGGTGGAACCAAAAATATTTTCCCTTCCGATTTTTCCATTAAAATCTCTTAGTAGAATTTTAATGTCATGGCCAGGGCAGCGGTCATATCCTATTTCTAGGTGCTCATAAAATATGGTCTTTGGTCTGTTCATCTTTGTCTTCCGTCGGAGCATTTCATGTCTAGTTTCATGGGAACTATAATACGGGGCTTAATCATCTGATTTACTTACGCCAGTCACAGTCACGCCATCACATTTCCTGTAAGGCAATAATATCGGCTTTGTACGCCTGGTGACACTGCGGGGAGGTCAGTGTCCAGAATAGAGATGAAATAGGGACCAACAGAAGCCTGGGCTTCGCCATGTTAAAGTCAATCACCCAAAAAATAAAAATGCAGGGTTCAACATTTCTGGATAACCTTATATTTTAAGTAGGTTTGTCTGTCTTCAGTAATATTTACTTCTTATCTGCTATTGAGATAGTCACAGAAATTAAAAATTTAAATGAGTAGATTGTTGTCCAGTAACTCATAGGTCAAAACAGCTCTCAACTTATGCTACTTTTCTGAACATTAAAGTAAATAGACACCACTAGGTAGTATTTTGAACAATTTATACAAAAATTAATAATTGTCACTGAAATTTATTCAAAATATTTATTTTGGGTATTTGATTAGAACAAATGAGCCTAAATGTTGTGACAAAGCACAAACAAATAATAGCTAAAATCCACCCCATGCCTATTTTCTTGTTGCTCCCACACTGCTTTGAGAGTAATAGTCACACTAACGTCTCTACTTTGAAGAATGCATATAAACAATTCTCTATTCACGAGATTGATTGGTGATCGAGCATTAGGAAATCTCATATATGAAACTCGAAATCATGCATTTACGATCGGATGTCTACAATGTATGTATGTGTGCATGCTTGTGTTAGTTCCATTTCTCAATTGTAAACAACACAACTACGCATGTTTGTTGAGAAATAGAAAAACAAAAACAAATAAACAATACACTCACCGAAATGTTCTGCCAGAAACCAATAAAATAATGAAATAGTGACCAAAACAAAAACGTTTACCTGTATCAGTGTGTGTGTGTGTATATATACACATACACAGATATAAATACAAGACAAACGTTGCTCAAGTGGTTGTACGTCTGTGAATAAATGCAATAATAATTTCAATAAATAATGTATGTTTCTAATTCGCCATAAAACTTATTAAGAGTTCCGTTGGTCGCATTCTAAATAATTTCAATAAACAATGGATCGGTTTCGAAAAATAATCTGATAAATTCACAATGTATGTTTAGCAAAATGGAGAGATGTTTAGAAAAATGGAAATATTACTCATTTCATGAAATATTCTTCAAATGTAATATACTGATCATTTTATTTAAGAATTGTGTTTAATATTAATATTTAATTTCTGCTTAGCAGTTATTTGTCGTTATTTTATCATCCAGTACCGTTGCTACTGCAGACCTTTCTTCCTTCAAACTGTAAAATAATTTATTATACATGTGTATACCAGTACAAAGTAAATGCTACACAAATCAACGAATATTTCTAAAATATTTCGAAAAACAACAATGTTAAAATGCGGTATCCACTACGGTGGATAATATACAAGGAATACCGTTTTTTGGGATCTTTACGGAAGCACGGGCTAAATATTTTATCTACACTAATAAAAGAGTAAAGTGATTGAGTGAGTGATTTGGGGTGAGTGTCACTCTTTGTCCAACGGTGTCAGATACGGCTAAGTTTTTTAGAAATTCGTACTACAACGGCACGAAAAGTACTAAATGTGGTACCATTTGTATTTAGCGAACTAGTAGAGCTAGAACTCTTAAATTTGAAATGGGGGTAACTGATTGAGTGTAGAATAGATATAGTAAAGGGCTTTTCGAACACTTGAACTATAAGTATCCGAAAAATATTAAAATGTACTAAATATGGTACCATTTCGTAGCATGTGAATTGATAGAGCTAAAAAATTGAAATTTGGAATGCGAGTTAGGGTTGAGAAGTAGGGTCGATGTATACGAAAAGTACAAACCTGTACTACATTTGGTACAATTTTAATTTGGAGAAACGGATGGAGCTGGAATCCTGAAATTTCAAATTTCAATGTAGGTAGTTTTGGAAATTCGCACTCATGTGTTCTAAATCGTACTACAATATTCCCCGCTTAATTACCTCCACGCTTAATTACCTTCCACGGATAATTGATCCGATGTATTTTTCAATCTGGCAACTTTACTTAAAATTGCTTACATTTGCTAGTGCACTTGCCACACATGTGCACATAAAATCTATTGTTTTGAAAGTTTTCGTGAAATGTCTCCCAGAAATACATCGTTGTCTATCAAACTAAAGCTCCAGTTAATATCTCAAGCAAAAAAGAAAGACAAAACAAAACACCAGTGTCCACCGATATTTACCCTTGCTGGGTAATTAACCGGGGTCCACGGATAATTATCCTAGCGAGGTAAATAACCGTGCACGCTTAATTACCTTCCACGGATAATATTGTAATAATGTTATACCGTCTTAAAAATTTATTTGAGTAACATGGGTGTTAGTACATACCATCCATAACAAATGAGCGTTGTACGATCAAGGCGAAATGTACTTGCCATTTTTTAAATACTATATATTTATATACAAAATATAAAAACATTTCATGGTACAATCATGGTACAATTATACAAGGTAACTGCAATACTCAGCTGATTTGATTGCATCGTAATGCTCGTGTCAAGTTCGATATGACATTTTTGACATTCTGATGTAGGACGACCCAGCAGGAAAATTTTGTACACATTATTTTGAAATAAAAAATACGATAATACAAATTAGGCGTTACAACATAAAGGAAACCAGAAAAAAAAATTATTTATTTATAAATCTAGCACATTGAGAATAATAACATTCTTATAAAGTAGTGTTAGTGGTACATTGAATACTTCAAAGTTATATAATGGTTAAAAATATATTAAAGATATTAATTAAATATGAATATTAATCATTTTATGCAAAATATTGTAATTCATTATTGAAACGCAGGTTGTTGCTTATAATTTGTATGTTCGGTGGAAGATAATTCCAAAGACGAATAGTTGGAATGAAAAATTGTAAAAACAATTGTAAAAAACTTCGGAGCCGTATAAAAGTGTCGGAACAAGGTATGACTTTGCAAGTAACATGCGTATTTCCATGGGGGTAGAGGTTTGAACTGCCCAGAGGTTGCGTAGCATTACATGCACTTTTCCAGCTGTCATGTTAATGTGATTGAACCATGATAGTTTTTCATTAAATACCACGCCTAGGTTAGAAGCGAAGCTAACGTATTCAATTGTAGAATCAAAATTTTTTTTAAGGAATCTATTTGAGGTTGTTGTTTATTTTTACCAATGTGAATGCATTGTGACTTAAGGGGATTTAGTGTTAGTCTATTGTTTTCAGTCCAGTTAGATATGTTCCTCAAATCATCATTAATTATATTTATAGTAAATTTAAAATTGCTTGGGTGCGATCCTAGATATAATTGAACATCATCAGCATATATATGCAATTTGCAATGTGTCAGTGAGTCCGGTAGATCGTTGATGCATATGCAAAATAATAGAGGGACCAAAACTGATCCTTAGGGAACGCCGTTTTTTAAGGGCAACTGCGAAGAGAGCATATTGTTGTGAAAAACTGCTTGTGATCGGTTGCTCAAGTATGCGTTAATAAGACGGCAGGTTGAGGCAGAGAGGTTAAACAACTTTTGAAGTTTCTGTAATAGAATGTTGGGATTTACGGTATCAAATGCCTTGCAGTGATCTAGAAGTACGAGGAAGGAATCTTGCATACTGTCTTGATTACATCTCAGATCTTCAGTGACGTCTAGGAGAGCTGTTACACAGCTTCGGTTCTTTAAAAATCCAGACTGATTTAATTTCATTGAATGTTGAAAGAACTTCAGTGTATTCGGCACATCTAAAAGAGAACTCATTTTCATTTTGAACAATATTCAAATGTGAATAAACATTGTCAAAATTGACCGCCAAGTTTGGACCGATTAATTTTAGATTTAGCTCTTCAATATCGATGTCATCATTTGAATGGGATCTGGATTTGTGCCCAATGCCTATTTCTCGTATTTTCTTCTATTTACATTAGCTGCTTAGTGCTGTTGAAAATTGTTATTTATAGTAGACTTAGCCTTTTGTATACAGCTTGTTACTTCACGTCGTAAAGATTTGAATTGTTCATGGAGCTCCGGTGTTTTGTATCTTTTCTATCTTTTGTAGCTAGAATCTCTTTTATATAAGATCTTTGATATGATTACTAAACCATTTCTCTTCATTCTTCGGTGAAAATGTTTTTAGGGGCACACATTCATCGAAAATAGCATAACATTTTTCATGGAGAAACAGTACTTGGTCATTTACATTTGGCTTGGTATAAATTTCATCCCAATCTTCTTCAAAGTATAATTGTTCCAATACCTGAATACGAGCAAAATGGGGAATGAATTAGAAGACTAAATTCTGAATAATGCGGCGAACAGCCTTATGGCTCGAAAATCTTACTTGAAGAAATCGACATTTGAAGAAAAAAATTAATGTCCGTCCGTAATATTCGGGGCCATGTTTATTAAAATACCAGCGTGAAACAAAAAAAAATTAAATAAAATATCAAAAAGTATTTTGAAAAATCCGCGCTTATGTATAACAAAAGTGTATTTCTTTGCCTTTATTAAGGGAGTATTGGGAAAAAGTAATTTTCTCAGATGAGAGCAAGTTTTGTGTTTTTGGAATCAAAGGGCGCAAGATGGTATGGCGAAAAACGGGTACGGCTTTCCTTAATATTTTAAAGGCAAATTTGAAGCACAGCGCCGAAATTCTCGAATTGCAATTGAAATTCAAGTTTTGTTAAAAATACAAAAATCATTTCTCTTTTTTTTCTCTCTATTATAGGACACATATATGAGTTTGAAGGGCTATCAGTTGATTAAATGCATCATTTATATCCATCACTGAAAGGAGATCAGCTATGTCCATTGGGCTTCCATCCACAGACCAGGTATCCGACGAGATGTAAACGTTGTTTTCGTGATTACAAGGAGCACGGTGGACGAAGAGGGATCGAAGATGTTGCTGCATCATCACCGAATCTCTCCGATGGACTGAATTCGAGGTAAGTGATATACGATTAAATTTCCCATCATATATTTATATAATGAATTTTTTAATTGTACTCCTTAAGGCCATCATCCCGAACATGGACATCAACACAGAATTTGTCCTCCTTAAATGGCAGTAACAATGATATTGGTATGGTCGAATCGAATCGAGTGTGGAGATATTCCCACAACCGCAACACAAATAATATACAACTGGTTTTCAAAATTTACTAACAACAATTATCACATTGATAGCATGTGTATTTTTTTTATTGTTTTGGTAGTATTTGGCACAAATACACGTATTTCCTTTGGATAATATCTTGTTTGTAGTTATATAAATAATACTATTTTGCACAGTGGTACATTTTCAGAGAATATGTAATATGTCAATAAATATCTGAAACGATATAAACTTGCCCGCCTGTCCATTTGTACAGGTCGCATTTATGATCCGAATGATATTAAGGGTTAGATATGGCTCTCATGTACATATATTTTGTGCATCACACAACTCACGTTTGTCCGATTGAAATTTTACCTTTTTTGCCGAATACCATGTGCTTGGATTTATTGAAGTCGATTCATATATAGTTATTCTTATTTTATTGTAGTTTACAATAAGAATTTAGCAGCATCTCTTGTATATATCCATAGTGGTGTATGGTATAATATTGTCGACTCCGGCCCTTTTGCGCTTTCCTTACTGGTTGTATAATTATAAGAAAAATATCAGTCCATATAAATATTGACCAATAACAAAAGGTACTGGGCAACTGAAAATCAGATCCCAAGAAAAAGTATCCCTATTATTTTGTACCTGGAAAGCATTTCCCATTGGGCACTGTTTCTTGTTTGCAGTTGCCAACAATTTTAAGACCTTTTTTAATGTTATAAATTTGTAAAAAAACGAGTAAATTTCACTGCCTAAATCTTTTTCTGAAGCGTCGCAATGATTTTGGTGAACATTACCTCATCTATTTAACATTTAAAGTGTTACATTTCTCTGAAATTGTACGCAACGGTGTTCAATTACTTCTCAAATTAACTGACATTCTTTCTCATTTTATTCTCGTATCATTTCTATGCATTATCGCCTTCTGTGTGATATGCGGTCATCTCTGTACTCATCATCATAACCACGATTAATATTTGAACTTTTACTACCACTGCAACTTCTTTAACTACTACCACTACTGCAATAACTATCGCCACTACTACTTTGCGCCATAACTTCATGTTTTACACTGTGTGCTATGTGGTTGATTGGGCGTGTGTTTGTGTGCCATCTCGGCCAAACATAAAAACAAAAACAAACAAACAAACAAATAATGTGACTGGAATTTGTGTTATTGGCCCCCGCCGCCACCATCACTACTGCGGACATTTGTTTGTGTCCTTTTTGCGTCCATCACTCGGTCGTTTGGTTCGTTAAATGGATGTTTTGGCCGGCTCGGCCATGTCGTAATAAAATAATTTTAAAATCGTTTGATTGGTGACTAATGACAAATATGAACATTTACCACAAATAATACCACAATCGCACATTATGGCCAACCGCAATTTACTCACACACACGCACACTCTCTCGAATACGTAACGTAATGTTTTATGCAACGCATGCATGCATCTTTATCGAATCTTTACTCAACAAAAGTTGTCCACTTCAATGTAGAGTTGAAGAAGCGGCCACAGTCATGGGCCTCCACACCCGATATAGACGAGGTCGATGACAAGGCACGGCCGACACCCCGTTCCAGTACCAAGACATCGGCGGCTGATGACAATGATGTCAACGTCACGATCAAATTGCCGGTGCCACAGAGGCGGCACACAACGACATTGGATCTTAAGGAGGTGAGTATCTGTCCTATTCCGCGATTCAATAGCAATATTCGGATAACTCGCACATGTTTGATATTGCAGGTGGAAAATTCGTTGTTACAAAGTTCAACTTCGACACCGTCATCATCTTCGAAGAATATTCCAGACGATTTAATCATTTTATCCACCGACAGTCTGGCGGAGCGGGTAAGAAAAATGAATCTGCTGAAGAAACAGAGAAGTCAGAATTCTAGGGAATCGAGTCGTGAACGATCAGTACCGCGAAAGAACGAAGGGTAGGTGGTTATATTCCAAAAATATTGACATTTATAATTTATGTGTATTCATCCATCCATTAGGGATAGTAGTCACGAAAACGGGGACAGTAAAACACCACCCGACCGGCCAGAACGAACAAAATCATTGTCTTCGGCAAATGGCAGCAACAGTAAGGATGCATTAGCAACGAAAAGTGCTGCCCTGCCTCCGAAAAAGCTATCCTCCACATCTAGTTCAACGACAACGTCGACTCCGGCACGACCAACTTCGGCTCCCGCTGGGGATACAAAATCTGCCTTGCCGCCAGTACCTGCCAAAGCTACTCCAACAAAACTGAAAACTTCATCGACATCGTCTACTACAACGTCTACATCCACTTCTACAGCACCAGCACCATCGTCATCCTCCTCATCATCATTATCATCGGCAGCTCGCAGAAAAGAAGCCGATCGTCAGAAAACGGCCCAGGATGTTGCATTTATGCTCAACATAAAAGAGAACAATTTCCAAGGCAAAAAGCCCAGCAACGACAACATGTCAATGATGACCGAAAGTCCGGAAGTGCACGATACCCAGGAAGAGTTAAAGAATCTACGCAAAGAATTGGAGGTCATGAAACAGCGAGCCGAAAAGGCCGAACGGGAAAAAAGTGACATTCTCTTACGACGCCTGGCATCAATTGACATGGCGCCCAACCGCACTGCCGCCTCCGAAGCTTTGATTCTCCAACAAAAAGTCAACGAGCTCAAGGAGCAACTCGAAAAGGTTAACGATGAGAAACGTAAACTGAACACACGCATGAAGGAACTGGAAAACAATCCGAAGAGTGTGGAAAATGAGCTGCGTCGAAAACTGCAGGCCGCTGAGCAGATATGCGAAGAGCTGATGGAAGAGAATCAGGAAGCTAAAAAGGAGATAATGAATTTACAAGCCGAAATGGATGAGCTGCAGGACACATTCCGCGAGGACGATGTCAAGGCAAAGACCAATTTGCAAAAGGATCTCGAAAAGACGACGAAAAATTGCCGCATACTGAGCTTCAAATTGAAAAAGTGTGAACGCAAGATTGAATCGCTGGAGTTGGAACGTCAAAATAGTGGCAATGTTGAATTACAGGCCAGAATAAAGCAGCTGGAAGACGAATTACGTTTCTCACAGGAATTGACTAAGAAATTACAGGTAAGAATTGCGGTCATTGTGTTCCGAATCCGCGGCCTCAATATAATTTTTCGCTTTGTAGTGTGAAGCCGAAGAATTACGAAACCCGGGCAAAAAGAAGGCTCCAATGTTGGGAGTTTTAGGAAAATCAACATCCGCAGATGCAAGGTTCACCAGAGAGTCCCTAACAAGAGGCGGATCCCAAGAAGATCCCCAACAATTGATGAGAGATTTACAAGACTCAGTCGAAAGGGAATCCGATCTTAAGGATCAGCTGAAGTTTGCCGAAGAAGAAGTAAGTTTCTGAATATGGGTAAATCCGAAAAAGCACCGAATTATCGGACAGGATTCATATACATATTTTGACTGGGGGACATTCAAAATACTTCAAATTGATTGAAACTCGTGGCAAATTATTAATCAAATGCACAAAGTATCAATATCAGACCCAATTCAGTTGAAAATGTGTCCAAAGTACAAAATAAGTAAAGAACATTATTATGGGGTCAACTTCAAAGATGGAGTCAATATTGAAGACATTTTGTTCGCCTTATTGTAGAGGGTATAAAAGTGCCATCTATTTCGAGTGTTGCCAAGCTAACGAAATTAAACAGGACAGATGAAAATATGTCAAAGGAGAACTCCCATTTAACAAGCTTGTTATGGTTAAAAAATAATTATTATATAATACTGTACACAACAATTTGGGGTGGGGGATGTGGAACATTCCTTATGGATATGAAAGCCCTTTGGCGAGTATATTAAGAAGTTTTTAGTAATGTGGTAATGCATTTTTTGCGTCCTACTATATATATAAAACGTCGTTGGTGTCCAAATACAAATTGATCATACATTTCAATGTGCACTTTTTTTTTAACAATTGTTAATTTATTTTCCTGATATTTTTCGATAATGGTAAGATACGAAAACTTAATGCTACTCAGAGGAAATCATTAACCCACCAAGGCGTACAGACACAAGATTTAGTTGAAAACATTTTAACATTTCCTCGATCAACTCAAACGGAGGGTGTTGTTGAACAAATTACGACATTTACGCAAACGATCATCGTGGACTCCGGCGAATGCAGTACACAGACCGACTACAAAGTAAGCCTTGAGGATGAGGAGTCACAAATTTCGTATGCCATCGAAACTACAGATGCAGATTGCCAGACTTGTGAGATGACAAAAGAAATTTGCGAGGAAGTAACTTCGACAGTGTTGTCTGAGGTGGTCGATGCTGAAACACAGACTCAGGAACCGTCACTGAAAGTGGGTGTCGATAGCACAGATGCCACAAATATATCTGTCATATTCAAAAATATTCAGGATCGGGAACGATCTCCATTTGCAGCCACTCTCACGACAGTGTCTACCATGGCGGGTCCATCTTCATTACTCTTTCCCAGTATGATATCGCATGCCCTAAGAGCCGGCGCCGGGGCAGGTACATCAACTAATCAATCTGTTATTTAGTCAATAGTGAACGTTTGTAGTGGCAAGTTCCGTTGTTGATTTGAGTTGACTTGACTTCTTATTCGTAGCTAGCAACTAATCGTATTGAAAATGTTATTCATCGAACTACTAGTCCGGAAATCTAAGTATTTGTCGATAGAGCTAAACTATCTAAATTCACGGTCACTATTCCATCCCACCTACAACAACATTTGAGATATTCACAAAAAATATGTACTATTGTTGCCCATGTTAATTGTATTTGGCTAAAATATCGTTTCGTTTCTTGTTAATATTTGCAGGCTGAAAATTTACGGAAAAAAGTTGCCCGCATGGAGGATGAAAATGATTCTCTAATGATGCAGTTGAAAAAAATGGCAACACGTTCTCGAAGTATGATAAGTTGTAGTTGGTGTTTTTAATGTTGTTATAGCAAAATTGATATTGATTGGCTGAAAGAGAGGATTTGATATGAAATTGATCGGTTTTTACAACAGCATCGGGTATATGATCAGCAACTGGAACTAATACCAATCAGGACAATCAATACCTGTCGAATGCTTGACATTTGATCAGATGCCGTTGTAGAAATTGATGCTGTTGTAGGGATGTTCTCTCGACCAGTTCATAATGTGCTGACTTTTACTTTTACTAATCCAAGCGTAACTTTGCTTATTTCCTGCACTCTTTATTTCTCCCGTAGATGTACATGCTTTCCTAACCATCATCATCCCTACTAAATATGTTACATTGCCATTTTTTACAGCTGCTCATCAATCAATGAATTGGGTTGTTTTGAATATTGAATTCATTTTCCTCTAAACTTTGGCGGATCATTCATATTGTAATAGCTATTTTCTTGTTTGTGCATGCATTTTCTTGTTTTTCCTATTTCGAGTTATGTTGGTCGCTTTTCTCCTTTTAATTCTATCATTTCGATTTTGTCATCTCAAATAGCACGTAAGCTCAGTCCTACACCACGTCGATTGGCACCTGAGGTTCAAGCAGAACGCGACGAAGGTATATCGGACGAAGACGACCCTGCCGAGTTAAGAATTTTATTGGAATTAAATGAGCAGGAGGCCTCAATACTGCGCCAAAAGGTAGAGGATCTGGAGAAGCAGAATACCGAAGCCAAGAAACAGGTTCGAGAACTACAAGAGAAACTTGCTGCATCGCCCACAGATAAAAAGACAGGATTTTTGTCGTCGTCGAATGCTTCGGAAAAGAAAATCAAGGCGTTGAATGAAGAATTGGAAACACTGCGAAAGACAATAGCCGAAAAAGATAATCTGTTAAAGTCTTCTTCTTCGTCACAGGCGAACTTGAATTTTAAACGGCAACTCGACATGGTCGAGCAGGAAGCTACAGTGCTTCGATCGAAAATAACTGCCCTGGAAGCCGAGAATGAACGTATTCAGAAGGAGAACAAACGACTACAGTTGTCGTCGTCGAAAAAATCGTCCTCATCGGACAGCGGGGACGTTTCAAAACTTAAGCAAGCTCTTGCCGCTGTGGAGGAACAAAAGAATGGCCTGGAAACAAAACTCAAACGTATTCTGCAAGAAGCGGAGGGGAAACTGCCTCCTAGGCTGGAAATTCGAGTTACGGAATTAACACCGAAAAATCAGTTGAAGAAATGGGTAGAAGAGCTTGATGACGAAATCACCGAATTGAGAGCCCTGGTTGCGAATAGTAGCGCTCTTAGTCTAAAGAACTTGCAATCGGAGAAGAAGTCGTTGGAGGACGAGTTGAGTAAATACAAAGCGAAATTAACTCAAGTCGAAAGCGATTTACGTAAGTAGAATACGAGAGTGTAAAAAATTATTGTGTATTGTGCGCATACTGGTTAGACTAGAAAAAGGTAAGTTCGGACGCACAAGAAATATAGATTCTATGTATATCCTAAAAGTAAGGATGGTTCTATCTTGTTTCTTTCTGGATCTTACATGGAAATGCATACAAACATAATACCCTGCACCACAATGTTGTGTAGGGTAAAAAATGTAAGGTCAAAAGTCAGATGGAACCGATGATATGATAACACACACCGCAGAATGGCTATTAAAATTCTAATAATAACTCATATATGAAAATCCCACTGGAATCCATTTCCCGAAGAACTTTCTGCGAAGGTTGTTTCACTTGCAAAAAAATTAAAATAATAGAGGTAGTTCTGTAGGGTTTCACATCATCGATTCCGCCCCAAAATACTTCGACTAGTTTCACATGCATTTTAATAAATGATCTGTTCCAGAACCTGCAAGAATGTACAATTTTTTACCACGGTAACAATTGTTCGTTTATGATATCGAAAAACAAAAAAGGGCGAATATTTAAGAGTTATAAGAAAGATTAAAAAAAAAAATCAGAAAAATCTTAATTTGAATCTATACTATGGTGCATATAATTTTGAAGATTGTTTGAAGATTATTTAATGAAACTTCGTCCAACTTTCCATTTGCTTCGAGCCTAAATCCTTCTGCAAAATTTACTACGTTGTTGAGTAATTGACGGCCATTCTTATCATAACAGAGCACGTATTCTTATAATGAAATTCAATGATTTGCAAGGGTTGTTCGTTTGTACGGCGATTAATGGTTAAATTATAGACAAACTAGAGATGTTTCACAGTGAAACAAAACAGGACGCGTGCGTGAGCTGTTTAAATCAGTGTTTCCAAAATGATAATAGCTAAAAAATACCATTTATGTATTCGCTTTAGAAAAAACCAAAACATCGTCTACACCAAAGGTTTCGGAACTGGAAAAACAAATTAAAAAAGCCGAGGATGAAATAAAACAATCTGGTACGAAGATTAAGGATCTAGAGGAGAAACTGAAGAAACAAGAGAACCTGGTATGTCGTATGTCCCCACCACCACATTACGTTTACATCGGACTTTACGACACATATTTTTTGCAGGTAAAACAAACCGAGTCTAGCAAACTCACCCTGGAACAGCAAATGAAGGCGGACAAGGAAAAACTTTCGAAATTGGAAAAAGACTGTGAAAAAGAACGAAAAGATCGGGAAAAGCTTGAGGCTAAATTATCGCAGAAGGATAATGAGCTTTTGCAGGCTCGTAAAAATGCCGACAAAACTAAATTTTCCTTGGAGAAGGAAATCAAGGACTTGAAGACTAAATCATCGAAATCGGATTCGAAACAGGTACAGGAATTGAAGAAACAAGTCGAAGAGCTACAGGAATCGTTGAGCAATGAAAACAAACGCTACAATGATCTAAATGCCCAATGGGAAAAACTATCCGAGGAGACGATATTGATGCGCGCCCAATTGACCACCGAGAAGAATACTCTTCAGACGGAACTTAATAATACTAAGCAAAAGATAGCCGAATTGGAGTCTATTCGGGTAAACCGAACGGAACTGGCCAAAAAATTGAACGACGCCCAAAAGAAAATCCAAGAACTGGAGACAAAGACCCTCAAAAACAATTCCAAGGAATACGAGAGGACAATGTTGCAGAATAAGTTGGATGAGAAGTCGCACGAGTATGAGCGCCTGAAAAGGGAGAACGAAATGAACATCGACCTCGTATTCCAGCTTCGCAAAGATAACGACGAGCTGAACCGTAAACTGAGTGACTTTACTCGCATAGAGCAAGCCAAGTCGTCACTCAATGGCCACAGTGCCGATTTGGAAAACGAAATAAAGGCCCTTAACAAAAAGTAAGTTAATCATCGGAAATATTTGTGCAAGTGTGTCATACTGAGAACATGTTCTTGTTCGTTAGGCTAGAGAGTGCGGAACTGCAATTGAAATCGGAGGTAGCATCGACCCGACTGCGCTATGAGCAACAGGTGAAGACGCTTAGTGCCGAATTGACTTCAATGCAGGTGAGTCAACACACGTTGTTTGTGGCATCAGAATATCCGTTAAGCACATTTGCATATTACAGCGCCAATGTGAACGATTCAAGAAGGATCGCGATGCATTCAAGCAGATGTTGGAGTCTGCCCAAAAGAAAATTGGAGATCTTAAGGCCAATAATGCCGGTCGACAAAGCCGCGGATCAATGCACAGCAGCGACGAAGACGATAAGAGTAAAATTGCTTACTTGGAACAACAGGTGAGTACGGTGTCTGCAGCTCATTGCATTCCGATAGTTGTAATTGAAACATATGTTTCAGATTGGTTGCCTGGAAGATCAACTTGTAGAGGCTCGTTTGGAGGTCAGCAAAGTTAAGACTGAATTGGTTTCGGAACGCAGTGCCAATGAAATTAAGATTTCTGAAATGCAATCGAAGCTGAATGAATTCGAAGAGGAACGAGTCATTGGCTCAGGCCGCACAAAGATCCCTGGCATGAAGACCAAGCTTGAATTGTCGTGGCAAAAGGAGCGCGAAGATCAGCAACGACTACTGCAAGAGACGTCGACGTTAGCTCGGGACTTGCGTCAAACCCTGTTTGAAGTGGAACGTGAACGTGACAAGGAACGTTTGGAATCCAAGCGACGCCTTGAACAACTGAAACGAACCACTGAAGAAGAAATGGAGGAGGGACGCCGTAAGATTGCTGAACTACAATGCGACCTCCTGGAATTGCGTGATGTTCATGCAAAATTGAGGACGTCAAACGAGAAGCTTAGAAGAGAACGGGAACGCTACGAAAAGGAGTTAATAAAGCGGCGCATGGAACAAGAGGGAGGAGAACGCAAACTGGGAGCTCTCCTCCAAACAGTCGACGAGCTGGTGAAGGTAGCTCCCGAATTGGCGGGTAGTCGAATGGGAACGACGCCAAACGATCTGAGACCCGAGCCGACGGCAGCCAGGAGAAATCGCAGTCCATCGCCATCCATGAACACTTCCAACATATCTGCTGTACTGGCTCGTCTAGCCGAAGCCTCCGAAGAGGTACGCAAATTCCAACGTATCAGCGAGGAGGAACACGAGCGCTACCGAGTGAGGCGCAGCAATTTGAGGCGTGCCGCCTCACAAGAAAATGACCCACACGGCAGTCAAAGTTCTGTGGCCAGTGCAGCAAGTACCAGCAGAAATGGTTCCAAAGTGTCACGGTCGGGCCACAACGGCAGTTTAATTAGAAAGAGTCTTTCACTGGATCACTCAATTCAAAGGGACCAGGTAATTTTTGCAAAATTCCCCAACTATTTTCATTGCCATATGTTTGTTTCCCTTTAGAATATATGGCGTCAAGATGATGGCAGTGTTTCCTCAATGCAGTCCATTGATTCCGAGTTGGGTGGCTTGGTGCGTGACTCTAGTTATGATTCGCGTTTGGACTCACGTCTATCCGGTGGTTCGACACAGAGTGACATACCCAGAGGACCCCGCAAGAAGAAGAAAAGTCTTATGGGGAAACTGAGAAGTCTCACGAAGAGTGGTCGTAATTCCGAGAGTGAAATATCGGTAGGTATTTGCGCACGCACACACAATTTTGTTCAACCGGTGGTAATGCGTTTTCATATTAGATTCAAGGATCAGACTCAGACATAAGTGTTGCCAGCGATATGAGAGCGAGCAAGAAAGATTTGCGGGGTCGCCTCTCCGGCATGTTCAAAAGATCGGGATCGACATCACGTAGCGGCAGTACAGAACGCATGTCCAGTGAACAGAGACCAGTGGCTGTGACGGTGGTGGGCGATGAGGATGGTCCACAGCCCCGTGATCCACCACCGGCCAATGCAGTGACACCAAAGCCCATTCGATCGGTAAGTAGGGGTAACAAATAAAAGATGTAGTTATAACTTCCATGTGAAATCTTATGAAACTTTCAATTTTGAAGGATATGAAATTGGCGGCAATATATTTATGACCCATCTCGTCTAAACTTTCTTTGCAGATTGCTAAACCACCAACGCCAACTACTCCACTCACAAAGCGCAAGACGGCAAAATGATGATTAAATCAATCCATCAATCGATCAATATATTAATCATTTATAGTCTATTGTTATTATTTTTCAATTATTTTATTATTTTGTTTTCATTACATTTTTCACATACCATAACAATTTAGAAATTTTTATTGAATAAATTATACACCGTACATACGTACAGATATACTGTTACATGAATGCCTTGCTTTTGTATTACAAAACTACCGAAGCTATGTCGTGTCTATACTTACCAAAGAGTTTTGTTCTTTATCCGATTTGAAATTTGGGGTAATATTCATAAATAATTCTCGGACATGACGTTGTAATTATACCGATTTTAACCAGTGCGCTGCAGGGTTCGAAAAAGAAATGATACTCTAATTTAGTGTACCGTAACAGGAACACAAAAACACTAATAACTTTTCAGCGTTGGTATTCGGGAACACACACATTAAAAATATGTTAGTGTTACTGTACCGGAGCACAACGATAATCGTAGATTTTTCACATCTTGATACGCTAAAAAAATGTTGGGTACCGCAGTCGGAACACTAAAAATCGCAGTGTACGCAAATATTGATTGACGGCAAGAACAGAGTAACTAGCTCTATGTCCGTAAGTAGTGACCTAGGAATAATCCATAAAAACAGGAATGGTGTTCTTCACAACGAAGGCCAAACATGGAAGCTTTAATTTGGGATATGATAGAGTAAAATTATTGAAGTATGCCCAACCCATAATTGGCATATTCTCAGCAAATTAAAAATTTATATATTTTCTAGAGATGCAAATTGTTTTCAAGATGTAAATATGTGTGCTACAATAATTATAGGGTTTAGAGGCATGAAAAATATTTAAAATATTTATAAACGCAAAATGACTGGACAATATTTGTCACTGCGTACGTCATTTTCGATGGAGATAATTTCATTTAAATTTTAAAAGATTAATGTTGTCGAAAGTAAAATTATGATAAAATTGGAAATATATGTCTCCATGAGACTACCTTGTATAATTATCCCATGAGCCGAAATTTCAAAAAGTCAGAGTTAATATCACGAAATGTTTGATCCTGTAACAGACTATGTTCATAGGTCTTCAATACCGAACTATGCTATGTGTCTTACTATTTGATATAGAAATACAAAATGTGAATCTTCGTATTTTATATAAACGGAATGTATAGAGATCAAATAATCAAAATGCGATTTTTTTTTTTTTTTGAATTTTACGCAACTTGTACAAAAATTTAGTAATTCGGAAATCCTTGAATTTCGGAATGCTTCAATTAAAAATGCTAGTATGTGAGGAAAGATCGATTTATAATGACATTTGTGATATCAAATTGGGGGGTTGTTCAATATTCCCCCATTTCAACAGATTTGAAAATATTCGGATTTTTTGACATGTCAACCCTCAATCGACGCGCTGAAGAGGTCTTTTCGGCCTCGTTTTTCCAAAAAAATGATTTAAACTCATTTTAAACGGGGTTACAGCAAGTCAGAGTTTTTTACAAAAATGTTCACCATAACAGCCTTACCTAAAATTCAACTAGCTCGTTCGACGTTTTCACCACAAAAGTAGAACACATGTATTTATATCAATGATACCGAAATACGTCGACGTACGAATTTTCAAAGTTGAAAAAATTCAACTGTATAAGTTTGATACGTTCTGACTCAACTTCCCGAGCTCAGTCAATCACGTCTGCTGATTGACACCACGGGCATCTCCTCTGCAAGTTCCCTCAGCGGAGACCGTAGAGTGCAGATGCCATCGAGCGGTGGTTGTTGCTGGTTTGCTCTCCTTGCCCGACACTTTTCTCCCACTGGAATATGTTAATGTAGTAGAAAACGACAACCGATCCTCAGCGATCACCGCAATCCTCTGTGATTGCATGAACCACAGCGTTCACTTGTCGTCTAACCATAGAAGTAACTAGTCACATAACGTCTACGCGTTATTAACAGGTCTCAGCGCCGCCTCAAATTACAAAGGTTTTTTTTTTTGTAGAATAAAGAAAAGGATACCACCAAATAAACCAAGACTTTTATTAAGATTATTTAACTAATCCTTTGTGTTTTATTTCTTTGAACTTTCTTTTCTTTTCCATTTACACCATTAACTGCTTGGGAGCTCTTGTTGTCGCTTCACCCCGCTCCCTTGAGTTAATACATTGAACACCCCCCATCCACCACACACACCACCACTGCGAGGAGTAGAGCACGCCCCTCGCCTAAACATCAACTATGACAGAAAGTAGTTTTGTTTTGTTTTTTTTTTTTATTTTATAATTTCTTAATATTATATCGCGATTTCGTTTAGTTCACTAAGAGAAATGTATTCGACGTATTTGGGTAATACGGCCGTACAAAACATTTGCCATAGTGGGGAAGTTGAGTATTTTTGTACGCTTCGTTGAATTTTAGGTAACGTTGTAAAGTATTAGTATAACAGGCCTACCTAAATTTCGACTAGCTTGTTATTCACCACAAAAGTAGAACACATATAATTATATGAATGTTACCGAAACAAGTCCGACGGGGCGTACAAATATATTCAACTTCCCCACTATGACAAAATATTGTGTATGGCCGTATTACCTAAATACGTCGAATTCATATCTTCAAGTGAATATGTGAATAATACAAACCGCAAAAAAAATTGAAATGTGTTAAATTAGTCCAAATATTTTATGTTCCCATTCGAAATTTCATATTCTGAATGTTTTGTTTTTATTTTCAACATTTAATTTAATTATAAGATATTTTTTATGCAAACGCTAGTTATAAATATTGGCCAATATTTCTCGATAACACTGTGCTACAAAATAACAAAAAAATTTTTTTCAGGGGTTCTATTGTACCAATTCAGTTTAGTTGGAGTCCCTGGATCACGAAAATACCTTTGGTTTTTCTGGGTCACTTCGAAAATTAATTTTATAACGGTAAATATGGAGAAAAACGTAGTTTCATGGATTTTCCATTTGAAAATTGAATAACTTATTTACTTTATAACGGATTTATATTATTCTTTTTTTCTTTCGAATACTACAATTTTTCCTTTTAAACAAGATATATATTTGGTAAATCGGTTGAGGATTGGCTGAGTTACAGCGGTTGAAATGTGGAAAAATACGCATAAAATGACAAAATTTATTTTTCTTCGGACTGTACGATGAAATTATGATATCAAGCCATATAAGTTTTATTACATTACGGGGAAGAAAATTAAATTAGCTTTCGAAAATGATAAAAATCAAAAAAATCGGTTAAAAAATGAATGACTTATACACATTTTTGTATTGATTCTATGCATATTCTCTAAAGTAAATATGGGTCTGTATCGTTTCCTGTTACAAACCGTTATGTTTGCAACAGGCAAAGGGAAACGAGATAGACCCATATTTCCTTTAGAGAATATGCATAGAATCAATACAAAAATGTGTATAAGTCATTCATTTTTTAACCGATTTTTTTGATTTTTATCATTTTTTCATTTATGGCTTGATATCATAATTTCATCGTACAGTCCGAAGAAAAATAAATTTTTTCACTTTATGCGTATTTTTTCACATTTCAACCGCTGTAACTCAGCCAATCCTCAACCGATTTACCAAATATATATCTTGTTTGAAAGGAAAAATTGTACTCTTCGAAAGAAAAAAAGAATAGTATAAATCCGTTATAAAGTAAATAAGTTATTTAAGTTTCAAATGGAAAATCCATGAAACCGCGTTTTTCTCTATATTTACCGTTATAAAATTAATTTTCGAAGTGACCCAGAAAAACCAAAGGTATTTTCGTGGTCCAGGGACTTCAACTAAACAGAATTGGTACTTTAGAACCCCTGAAAATTTTTCGTGTCGCACAGTGTAATTATGATTTATTATCATTTGTAGAAAAATTGAAGGTACCTTTTCTTACTTGTTGTTCCTATTCGCGGTAATTACGTGACCATGATTCCTAATGTAAAATAGGCCTAAATGGCAAAAATCTTAAAAATATGAAAACTCATTTTAAGGTTAATGCGATATTTTTTCGAGGTTGTACCAATTTTTACCACAAGATGTCGTTTTAGATCGAAGATATCAAAGACAAGAATATTGTCAACAGGGTGCGCAAAAATTCGCTCGAGAATGATTCAAAATACATTCTTTTCGTTTTGTGCTCATTTTAAGAATGAATTTATGGCAGGCATGCTCGGCCATATACGGTACCGTAACTGAGGGTCGATGGGTAAACACATTTTCTATTTCTTTCTCTTTACGTCAGTCGTTTTTAATGGTGAATTCTCAGTTACGCTCGCACACACTTGCTCTCAATTTAATTTTGCCCAACACTGATTTATGGAGATAAATTCTTTACCAAATGAGCATTCGCCAAAGTGAGAGCACACAACAACGTTTGTTCGTTACGTTTGGTGGCAGAATTTTTTTCAAACATTCTCTCACGAATGAAAACAAACATTCCCGAATTCTCACGAATGCTCAAACGGCAATAGTTGTTGGACATGTGTTTTGTTATTCCTCACACTTTCTGCTACACACACACATTCTTTTGTGTTCTTATGATATTTTTGTTTGTTGTTGTTTTTAACAGTGCTCGCGAGAATTCTCGAACATTTGTTTTTTTGAGTTTTTCAAAAGAATGTTCTTCAGCAACAAATGCTCGCGAAAGAATGAATCGACGATGCTTGCAGCGACATTTTATCGTTCGTGAATTTTTCGTACAATTCGAACATTCGCGAGAGAATGTAAATGCTTGTGCATTCATTGTAACTTTATCATTCGCGATAAATTGAAAACATTCGAATTCTCGCTCGTGAGCATTCGTGAGAAAGAGCGTATTTTAATCATTCTTCGCACCTTGATTATCAATCAAATTTTAGTATAAGTCGCTGAACAATAGTATATGTGTACATATGTTTTTTTTCGGATGATTGCCTTTCGATTGCCTTGGGTACATTTAATGTTAGGAAACTATCTGTTTTTTTAGGTTAGTTCGAATCTCCAAAAATACATACATTCATGATAA